TATCCTCAAGGATTAGCAAACAACAACAAAAACACAAACAAACAAAAACATATAAAAATACGGATGTATTCAAGGCTTTTCTCCACCATACTGGTATACACATGATTTGTAGGAACTTATACCCCAAGGAATTCAAGTCTCCATCCACAGCTCTCACTTTAAAAGATAATTGAACAATAAGGTGCATTAAAGAAAAAATGGATCCTAAAACTCACCTAATAGAACAGTTGCTATGAATCCTTTAAACTGTAGATAAAAGCAGTTTGAAGTTCATGTTTAAAACAACCAAGAATATTCAAATAGGGATCAAAAAAAAGTGAGACAAAAATAATACTCTTTTTGCCTCCCAGCTGGCAGGATTGATGGGAATGAAGCCATAATAACTCTAATGATAGCAAAAGGGAAGGGAGAAGCCAACACATTCAGGAAGAATTGCCATATGGCGAGAGCCAGGGACAAATGCGGGTGGAATTGCACATTATGCAGTTATGCAAAAGGGGTGCCATCAATAACTGGTGTCACTACAACTGAGATTTGTGGATTCCATTCCAAATTCCACTTTTAGATTCATTCTTTCAAGAAGTATTTATTATTATCTTGGAACAGAGTTAATGAGAGTCAAAGAAATGATTTATATATAAACAATCAAAGTTGGCATCACATTCTTTTATGGTATATGCAGCCAAAAGTTACATTTTTAACAGCTGTATTTTACCATTATGAAACAATCCATATTTTTTAAAACAAAACAAGCATTCTAGCATTATGAAAACTGCTTCACTTTGACAAGCTACCCAAACTTCAGCACGTTTAACCATTATTTGTAGCACTATAATTGATTATATTAACATTTTTTAAATAATCTTTTTTATAAATCAGTCACCTGGGTTTTAAAATTCAAATATTGAGAATAGGTAGAGATATTTTTATTACAGTTTATCTGATGAAATTTTTTCTTTTATATATAACTGCAAATGTATATGACTAAATTGGTTTCTTCCAAAGTGAAAAAATAGTTATACTAGTAAAGGCTTTCTCATTTAATAAAATTCAAAGGCTTCTCATTTTTGTTTAAAAAATATCATTTAATTATTTTTATTTTTTTTAATTTAAGTAATTTAACATTTCATTTTAAAATTGGCTTTATTTATTAATAGATGGGATTGTTTTATATATATAAAACCCATCTCTATATAAATTGCATATATATATATATATATATATATCTATATATATATGCAATTCTTTTTTGCTCAGAAGGGTGCTTAATTTTTTTAAAGCATGGAAGAAATGTTAATTTTGATTTTGAGTCTTGAGAATGCTCCCCCAAAGAATAAACATTTTCTTCTGTAATTTATTTGTTACAACTGAGATTGGAAAATCTCTTGAGATTCTTGCCATCTTAGAGTATTTTTGACATATTTTTTCTAAAACAGGTGTTACCCAAAGAAAAAAGTATACACATCTCATAAGGTAATGAGTCAAACAAAAATGGCTGAATATTAATATTAATGATAATAACAATGGTGGTAGTACTGGCTTACATTTATTGAATACTTATTATGTGTTAGGTACCTTCTGAAACATGTTTTATGAGAAAACTCATTTAGCCAACAAAAAGATCCTATGAGATGGGAACTACAATATGTGTATGATGATCTTACATATGAGAAAATTGAGGAATAAAGGAGTTAAATAAACTTGCCAAGGAGATACCAGTAAGCTTCAAAATGGGAATCTAATGCCCACACTCATAAGCAATAACAATACTGCATCCTGTGTTGTACTCTGAGACATTTGTTCATTAAACAAAACCAGGATAGCTATTCTTCCCAGTCTTAATACCCTTTGAGTTTATCGTAAAATAAACAGTTGGTACTTACTATTCCATATTCAATTTTTTAAATAACCTTTCCTTCAATTCAAAACAATTATGACTAATTTTCAGTAAAATAAAAGAATGGTAAGGGGCAAATTTGCAACTCTGAGTTCCCATGTTCAATTTTCTCAAAGAGAGCAAGTTGACAAGACTATGGCATCCCTGTGCAGTACACATGCTCGGGTTTTAAGAACCTTCCTGTATTTTAAGGAAAGTATGTAAACCAAGAAACACAAAGCTAAGTCTAGTATGTTTCTCTTATTGGGGCTGCACACAGAAGCACCTTTTTACCATCACCACCTGCCAAAAATGGACCTCTTTGGAAAATTCTCCCCCAAACCATTGAACTTTTGCCAATAAATATCCCTTTCCACTCTGGAATAAACAAGAGCATCTGGCACTGCTCTGTATGAGCTGTCACCTTTACTCTGCCTGTTCATAGACTTTCTGGAAGGGGAGGTAACGCTTCCATCTGGTCACAGCAGCAAGGAAAGCAGAAAGCAGTGAAGCGCTTTCATGGAAAACCTGAGACAAAATCCTGCAAGACTGTGTGCAACCGGAGGGGGAAAAACAACCAAGCACTGGATCCTCCTCATGATGAATGGTCCCACCTGACACCTGGACACGGAGGACTGGAGGAATGACAGAGGGTCACTGCCAATTTGCCTGTGTTCACATGCGGTCAGGTTATTCAAGGTTACAATATTTTAACCATTTGTGATTTTCTTCTCGGCACTACCATGCAGACTTTTGGAATGCTCCGAGTTCCACCAGGCACGCAGGGGACTCATTGGCTTTCTGTGGGCCACTGAAGCGTTAGGGTTTCTTTTCTAAAGCCGAGTGCATTAAAGGAAATTATAAATAAATAAATAAATAAATAAATAAATAAATAAATAAAAATAGATACAGACATGATGTCAAATAGACAACCGGGAGAAGGAAAGTTGGTAGAGAGAAAGAGGAAGGTTACTAGAGAACAAAGTGATTTTGAGCTTCAGATGGAATACTACTTGAGGCTGGGGGGGGGGGGGGTGGTGTTAGAGGGATACTGAAGATTTGAGATTGCCAGCTGTAGTTTCTGGGAATGGTGTGTTGAGAGGGTTTGTTTTATTTGAGGGAATAGAACTCCCATCTGGAGGTGGGTGCTTGCTGACACAGAAACGTAGCCATGTTTCCTAAAAGAACGGCCATATGCTAGGCTGCTCCCCCTCCCCCATCTCCAGACCACAAACTCTTAACTTTAGGCCCTCGGGTCTCCTGTCAATCTATTCAAAGTTTGTGTGAGTGAGTGTGCATGGTGTGTGTGTGTGTGTGTGTGTGCATGCATGTGTATGTATGTATGTGTGTGTTTATTTTCCTCAGGAAGGGTGTAAAGCATCATGTGACAGCAAAGGCTTTTCAAAAAACACTACTTCATATTCTTTTCAATGACTTGGCTCCCTGGCCTGAAATGGATCTGTCTTCGCACCACATCTAGAAAAAAAAAAAGCCTCAGTGTCCTCTGATAAAGGCTTAATGAAGAAAAAAATGATAATAAAGAAGGCAATGGTACCAGATTAGCCTTAATAAGCTCATCAAATGTACTCACTTAGGCTAATTTCAAAGAGTAATTTTGTGTATGTCTGTGGGAGGGTATCTTTATATGAAGATATTGCATTTCAGCTAAATTTGTATAATAAGTTTGATTTTATAAAGATAATAGGCCTAAGAGAAACAAGCTGAGATACTTACATAAGACCTTTGCATTGTGTTCTCAAAGTGTCTGTGATCTTTTCTTCACAAAGGCATGGAAGCAGCCTGAAAAAAAAACACACAAACAAACAAAAAAACAGTAGTTGGAACAATTCTCTTTCTACTTCATATCATGGTTCATTCCTCTTAGTGCTTTAAATCTGTATGTTAAAAGAAGGAAACCCATATACAGTTGGTTATGTGCCCACATAATGACATTTTGTTCAACAATAGACCACATATTCCACAGTGGTTTCACAGGATTATAATGGAGCTGAAACATTCCTATCCCCGTACCAATGTTAGAGTCACCATAAGGTCAGAGAGCAATGTATTACTCATGTGTTCATGATGACAGAGATATAAACAACCCTACTGTGCCCCAGCCGGTTTGGCTAAGTACAGAGAACAACAGTGCATGATTGAACAGGGGCTTGACTCTGGTCAAGGGCACATATCGCAGTTGCAGGCTCCTCAATCTCCTAGTTGTGGCACATGTGGGACGCAACCATTCAATGTGTCTCTCTCTCACATCGATGTTTCTCTCTTTCTTTGGCTCTTCCCCTCCTTTCCATTCTCTCTAAAAAATTAGTGGAAAAATATCCTCCTGTGAGAATAAAAAAAAAAAAAAAAAACCCTACTGAGCTGCCAGGTATATAGAAGTATGGCATGTACAATTATGTTACTGGTGTATATATTTAGTATACTATAGGTTATCATTATTTATAATGTTGTCTTTGGGCTTATAAAAAAGTTTGCTGTGAAACAGTATGCCCTGTTACACTGCCAACAACCTCATATATCTCCTGTTTACCAAGTCTCTTGATCACATCATTTTTTCTTGTGCTGGATTCAATCTCATGCTGTTTTGCACAGTAACATGCTGTACAGGCTTGTAGCTTAAGAGCCACAGGCGATCCAACAGCCTAACCACACATCTGTCAGAATGTACCCAGTCAATAAGCAGCACACAACTGTACTGGACTAGGAGTCAGGGAACCTATTTTATTTTAGTACAAGCATTCTCACTAACTGGACATATAATCTATGACATGCCACTTAGCCTTTCTCTATTTCCCACCTAACAGAAGAAAAGATAAATGATTTTAAAAAGTGTTTTCTAGTTACTTTATGATTTAACTAGAGGCCCGGTACACAAAATTTGTGCATGGAGGGGGTGGAGGGGGGGGGGTTCCTCAGTTTAGCCTGCACCCTCTCCAATCCAGGACCCCTCAGGGGATGTCCAACCGACTTTTGCAATCTAGGACCACTAGCACCTAAATGCTCGCCTGCCTGCCTGCCTGTTGACCCCTAACCACCTCTGCCTGTCTGCCTGTTCCCCTAACTGCTCCCCTACCAGCCTGATTGCCCCTAACTGATACCCTGCTGGCCTGATTGGCCCTAACCGCCTTGCCCCAAACCTGGGACCCAGGATCTCCTCCTCTGGCCAGTTGCAGGGACCCAGGACCCAGGCTTGCTTTGCCAGGGCAGGGCCGGCCACAGCGGCAAGGTACTGTGGGCGGGCGGATTCACATAGGCCATAGCCATAAGTGCCCAGGACCTGGGGTGAGCAGCTTGTCCCTCTCCAGGGCTGCAGCCTGGTTGGTCCCCATTCCTCTCTCTCAAGCTCATTTGTGCCTGGCTGGTCCCCGTTCCTCTCTCCCCATTGTTGAGTGTCTGAGCAGTTCTGATGGCTTGAGAGTATGACAACCATTTGCATATTAGCACTTTAATATTTAGGATAACAGTCATGATATTTTAATCACTATATTTAACAATTATCAAAATCTTTGTATTCATTACTAGCTTTGATACATAAAACCACTTTATAAAATGGGAAGGAGAGTTAGACATATAAATATAAAGTTACAGATACAAAGTTTAAAGGAATTTTGCCATGAGCATCAATAACTAGGGAGTGAAGCCTAAGCTTTCACCCTCCTGGCTTTAGGGCTCATTCCTTTGCGTCCTCTTGACTCCTTGATTTTCTAACCCTTTGATTTACATTTTATAATAAGTAATACTTCTACATTATACTGCTTGCTTTACATTTCTATTCATGTTTACGAGTTTGTTTACTGCTCCTTCTTGCATAACAAATATTCTTTTGAGTCACTCTCCATATTCATAAAGTATGTTCTCTAGAATTTATTAAATGAAGATATAATCTTTATAAACAGTTTTGTTTAATTGAAATGTATTTATTAAACCCTTGCCTTGATGTGTGTTAGTGTTTTATTGTGGTTTTAGTTTATATTTCCTTGATGACTAATGATGATGAGCATCTTTGTGCTTATTTAGACACATATCTACTTCTGTAAAGTGTCTGATCTTAGCTCATTTCTTAAACTGGGCTATTTTCTTATTATTGAGTCATAAGAGTACTTTATATCACCTAAATGCAAGTCCTTCATCAGGTATTTACTTAGCAAATATTTTCTCCAAGTTGTATAGCCTTTTTATTCTCTTTGTAGTTTATTTTGAAAAACAAATGATTTCAATTTTCAAAAAAGTAGGATTAGTTATACTTTTATATTTTATTTGCTTCTTAATTAAAAAACCTTTGCCCAAAGTCACAAATCATTTTTCTTTTTTTCTTTTATATGATTTTCCTGGAAATATAGCCAATACATTCTTTTATCTATTCATTAGTACCATATGCTTTGAATTATAGAGATTTTATAGTATATTTTAACACCTGATAAAAGTGGTCTCGTCTTATTGTTCTTTCTTTGCAGCTTTTCTGTGTTTATCTATGTTTGTTTTTCTATCTATGAAAAATGTAGTGAAAAAAGGAAAATCTGAGGTGAATCATTCAAGTTTACCAAATTGATTACATTATTCTGTATTTTTTTATATTAAGGAGTTACACATATGTCACATTTTCAGATTTCTGTTTTAACAGTCATAAATTCTAAAATGAGTTACCTATGTTGTCTTTCATCACTGTATTTAAATACTTTGAAATAAATATGTTGTTTTCAAGTTCAATATTAATAGGAGATTCTGAATATTTATTCTAACACATATATTTAAAACTGATCAGGCATTTTAAAATTCAATTAAAATAATAATTTTATTGTTTGTGTTTAAGATTTAACTTTCAGCAATAAATCATAATATTTTGATTATAGTGTTCCTTTAGGAGAAAATATAGTCTTTATACACATATTTTTATTCATATTTAAGTGAATTTATAATATGATTTTCATATAACATTGCTGATACTAACTGTGATGGAATGAAAATGGGCACAATTTCTTGAAATCTCTTCTATCAAGATGTAGAATGTATTTCCTTACCCTTTGAACCTCGGTTTACTTGATTGGTCAATACAATGAGACAAGGAATGTTATCTGACTGAACAAGATCTCAAGAAGCCTTGCTGCTTTACCCTTTCTCTCTAAGATGCTATTTTCATGTGACAGACATGTCAGCTGTGTCAAGCTGTCCCTATGGAAGTTCTAGACACAAAGAAGGCCATCCAGGATGCGTCTCCCCTCAGCTGTCCTCTCCCCAACTTAATACTCAGGTGACCAAAAAGAATCCTGCCTAACCAGCCCCCATCTAAGCCCAGCTCAACATAAAGAAACATGTGCAAGTAGTGGTTCTTTCTAACTAGTAAGTGTTTGGGTGATTTTTTTATGCAACACTAGAAAACCAATCATTTATATGGCTTTGACAAGAAAACAATCATTATTTTGTTGGTTTTTATTTAGAAGAGGGTATTTAAAAAAAAAAAAAAAAAAAAAAAAAGACCAATTGGATATGTTCATGTGTGCCAGAAAAAGAATGTTGAAATTAGAAATGATTTTTTCATTAACATGGGATTTTGAAAATATCTATGAATACTATTTGCAACATAAATTAAAAATGGAGTCTAATATCAGAAAAGGTAAGTCTTTCTCAGATTAAAAAAAGTCAAATTTTATAAATATGTATGCATTCTTTACATGCATTTTATTTCCCTAAATTTTGTGATAGGTAAAGGTACGTGTATTTTCATTTGAATATTGCATTTCAGTATGCTTGCATGAATTGGAAATGAATTTGACAAGTAGTACTTTCAGGAACAGATTGGTATCATGAAGTGAAAACTCTACATTACTCCAAATAAAAATGGTAAACATCAAAAATAAGAAGGCTACCACAATTCTATAAGGAAACTTTACATTGATTCCTGATATTGATATAAGATAACTGCTAGAGCGAAGGTAAGGGAGGGGGAGGATAAGGGGGAAAGATCAACCAAAGGACTTATATGCATGCACATAAGCCTAACCAATGGACACAGACAACGGGAGGGTGAGGGCCTGAGTGGGGGAGAGGGGTTGGGGATTAAAGGGGGGATGAGGAAACATATATAATACCTTAATCAACAAAGAAATTTAAAAATATAATAATCAACTTAAAGTATAGATAAAAAAGAAAAGATACTTGCCATTGGTAGTCTATCAAGTTATCTGCTTTAATTTTCTTAATCTCACAAAATAGCAAATGGATGACACAGTTAAAAATTTATATTATAGCATCAAGTAACAATATATAACCTTGCACATGTACATTTTCTTTATTAAAGTAAAAGAACAAAGAAGAAAAGGAGCAAGCAAGAAGATGTATTCATTTTACTTCTTCATGTAATATTAATATGGGGACAACTGAATGGCTACTTAATCCTTCCTGAAGCCTCCTTTTGTGTTACAGTCTGCCATTATTCTGTTTTTTCATTGAGGAAAACAAGAACTCCTTGATAAGAACATCAAGTGTTCTTCTATTTTGGAGACAGCGATGACCACTGGGTTTAAAACACGATGCGATGCTGAGTGGATGGAGTGTTGGTTACTAAGGTGGCAGGAATCCAGTGACAGGAAGACCACCCAGAAGAGCTTAGTGTTCAAGTACAACTTTAGCAGAGAGACAAGGTGATATCTTTCTTCTCTAATTGAACTAGACAGAAAATTGATCATCAGAGTTCTTAGAGATACTTGCACAATGAAAACGCATATCTGTATCTAGAAGGGAAATTTATGTCCAGTAGCAGTGCTTAAGGAGACAGTGTCTTATATCCACCTGACATCTATAAACATCACTCTAACCAACATGTTATTTTCATGTTTTCAGTTTTATAATAGTAAACATTTTGTTGAGCCTTCTTGAAGTCTTGGACATTCAGGTTCACACTTAATGAGAATTATCTTCAAACAAGCACCCTACTTGCAGGACCATGCAATTTGCATGTGTATAGAAGCTCTCTCTTAAATCTTCTCTTTCTATTACTTCCTTTTTACATAACTCTGATGAAAGGAGATAATGTATAAAACATACTTTGTCACTTCTTCCTCAACTCATTGTTTGCTTGAACTCCTGAATGTCTCATATTTCATCTTAGATAATATGACATGTCACTATGATCACTATAGAACTTTATATAAGTTCACGTAAGTAATTTGTTTTATTTTCCTTACATATATTTCTTTCATCACTTTAGATGATACAACTTGAGTATATTGCTATTTCCCTCACTGAAGAAATTAGGATTCATATGAAATGAATATACAGCGATTAACACATAAATTCTTTCCCATTTTAGGCATAACTTGGTTGCTTCTGTCAACTACCCTTTCCCTTAAAATAATTGCAACAACTTGTTAATGAAGCCAGATAAAGTAACTAAATTGTAGATAAGATTGTTCTCTGCCAAACGAAGAGAGATCATTCCATTATTAGAGTCTGAATATTGTCCAGAGATGGGAAGGAACAAAAGGACAAACTATTTATGAGGTTTGGGGAATCTTACTTAAAGAAGGTCTTTTACTGTGAAAGTCTTTTGGGGCTGAGGTAAAATCCATGATATAATAATATTAGATCACGGGCAGTGAACTCATGGTTCCAAATTAAGACTCTTGAGAACAAACAGTCATTTGATATTGTCCTGAGTCCCCTCATGAAAGCTGGCTGAGATCAGATCAGTGGAATTTTTTTTAAAGTACTGAAACAACCAATAAAGTTTTTGCGATTCCATCTTCCTGGGCAAGAGAATCCTAGGATACTCAAGTCATGTTATTATTATATTATAGATCATTAGCTGATTGGTTGTGGGTGATTTCTCTTTGCCAAGATGAGGGGGGGGGGGGGGGGGAGGTCCATTTCCAAAGTTTAGAGAAAATTTGAAAATAGGCAAAAGCCTGGCTGAGACTTATTGTATGTAAAAGTTTATTCCCTCTGAAATTTGGACAAGCCTAGGAAAGAGCTTAAATTTAATCAAGAACAAAACCAAAGAATCATAGTATCAACAGCAAAGGAAAAGAAACCACTAAGCCTTAAAGGCCTGTATCATTTGTTCACGGAGCACTCATGGCTGTACAGCATTATTCGTTATTGACCCTGCAGACAAGAAAAAA